TCCATTTCCTCCTTTTTCTCCTCTTCTTCCTCCTCCCCTTCTCCTTTTCTTCCTCCTCCTCTCCACCTGCTCTCCTTTTCCTCCTCCTCCTCCTGGTCTTCTTTTCCTCCTCTTATCTTCCTCTTCCCCTTTTCCTTTTCCTCTTGTCCTCTTCCTGCTCTTCTTTACCTCCTCTTCCCCTTTTCCTTCTCTCCTCTTCTCCGTTTCCTCCTCTCCTCCTGTTCTCCTTTTCCTCCTCTCATCTTCTTCCTCCCTTTCCTTTCCCTCTTCTCCTCTTCCTCCTGCTCTTCTTTACCTCCTCTCTTCCTCCTCTTAACTTCTCTCCTTTTCTTCTTTTCCTCCCCTTCTCCTTTTCTCCTCCCCCCCAAGTCACTAAACGAACGGCTGTAAGGCGAGAACTACCTGTAGCTATTCACTCCCACACCTGTTGCTTTGGCTGGTGGCGAACCTGGCATCTCAGCTCTTCTCCGTGTTGTTGATAGAATAATCCCTGCTCTGCCATGATTTAGGAAAACAACATTCCTGAGCTAATTTCCAGGAAAAAAAATGATTTTTTTTTTGTATAGCTACTGTTGGCGGCCAAGTGGTTGGCCTCCTTAGTGAGATACCTCTGGTTGTTTACAAAAAGAAAAGAGAAAAAAAAAAGGCTGAAAAATGATTTACAACAGCCAGCAGTCCGCCGCCAACAGATTTTTAAGCAGGCTCCCAAAATATCAATCCTTTTTTTTTTTTTTGCGGTTCAAGATTTGTAGCTGTCCTTCCTAGAACTTGCCGAAACTGTTACGGGAAATATTGACGGCTCGCTAAATCTTTTAAAGGTTTTGCCAGCAAAATCAAAACGACATGGTTATTCTCCGTTCAAACTCCCACCTTTCTATGCAGGGAGAGTACCTGTAAATAAATTATGCTGTGCATGCATTCTAGTCAAAAATGAGGATGGCTAAATGAATTAGAAAGTAACCAAGGGGAAAATGCCACGCGGAATCTGCCTTAAAATATGCATGTGTGAACTAGGATAGGATTATACTATGATAAATTATTATTATTATGAATTAAAGGGAAGTTAATTGAATGATGTATAAGACAAAGGGGTGGTACAGTCAATTTAGTCGTTAAAGGGGGAGATCTTTGAATTTTCGAATTATTGGAACTCGAATCATTAGAACTAGATGAATATTTTTTTGAAAAAGGAACTAAGATGAATTTGCAAATGTGACGGAGAAAGAGAGAAGTACAATGAGTATAGAATAACGTTAAGATGTGAATAGAAAATATATAATAAGCGCGAAGAATACAAGAATACTCGCTCAGAAAATTTACTGAAATTATAAATGTAATGCTATGACATGAAATTGAATGTGACAGATGAATATGTAACTAAGGACATGTTTGTATGGAAATGTAAAAAACCTGGAAACATACTGTTCACTGAAAGAGGTTGAAAAGCAATTAATCCAGGCTGCGCGGGAACACAAGGCTGCGCCTGCCCACATGGCCCGCGGGAACCCGCCACACCCACCATCCGCTGTCCTGCTGTGCCAGGAGATTTAGATTAGCTAGAAAGCAGGAAATGGTTGGATTTTTTTTTTGGCTTTCTAGCTCGTCTTTAGATCTTGGGCTCTGCTTTGAAGTAGAGCCAAACCTCTCTTAGGACTGAAGGTTCTTTTATTCTGTGCAGGCTCAGGTAGCCGATGGCAGAAACACAGATGTCTAAGTGAATCTGTGATTCTGTGAGCAACTCAATCTGCCTGCCTGCTTTGCCTGATTTGGGGTAAAGGTTGCTTTTTTATATAAAAAAATCCAATATTTACATACATGGCGTATTGTGAGTTTATTCTGTGAGTTTGCTTGCTAGCAAATGTTATGAGTTTATGTGTCAGCCTCAGGTAGCTGATGGCAGAAACACAGATCTCTAAGTGAATCTGTGATTCTGTGAGCAATTCAATCTGCTTATCTGCTTTGCCTGATTTTGGGTAAAAGTTGCTCTTTTCTTTATAAAAATAATCAATATTTACATAAATATGTATAATATTTACATACAAGCCATGCCCAGCCAGTCACATGACCAAGCCACACCCACACATTAGGCCACGCCCACAGAACTGGTTGTTAATAACTTTGAATCCCACCCCTGCTTCTGTGTGTGTGTATGTGTGTGTGTGTGTGTGTGTGTGTGTGTGAGAGAGAGAGAGAGAGAGAGAGAGAGAGAGAGAGAGAGATCTCTCTCTCTCTCTCTCTCTCTCTCTCTCTCATTCTCACCAACGTCAGCAAGCCGCCGTCAGTCAAAATTCATATTAGTGGCCCCTGAGATTTGAAATTATGAGTTTGGTGGTCCCTGAGGTCCAAAAGGTTGGCGACCCCTCATCTATGGAGACCCCTGGTCTTCACCTTGAGCGGAGGGTTAGACTAGAAGACCTCCAAGGTCCCATCCAACTCTGTTATTCTGCCTTGTAAGAGGAATGAAAGATCTGAAACCCTACAGGGGAGAAAAATATTAGAATTAGCAGGACAGAGACGGAAGGGGCCTTGGAGGTCTTCTAGTCTAACCCCCTGCTCATGCAGGAGGTCCCTATAACATTTCATACAAGTGGCTATGCAGTTTCTTCTTGAAAACCTCCAATGATGGAGCAGCCACAACGTCTGAAGGCAAATAGTTTCACTGGTTCATTGTTCTCCCTGTCAGGAAATTTCTCCTTATTTCTGGGTTGGAGGAGTCTTTGTACATCATTCGAAGCCCTGAAAAATCACTCGTAATTCCTGTACAAAATGCAAACACAATCCCTATTTACGGTCCCCCGCAATTGCATCTAATGGCTTAGTACAAACATGCCTTTCCCAAGAGCGACAAAGAGGTTTGATCTGAGAGGGAAGCAATTCCATGATTAACACAGCAGTTGAATGCAACTCCAAAAGGGTCCCCGTCTCCTGGGGATTGGTTCAAAGTCACCTAGCTGGCTTTCGTGCCTAAGGAAAGACTAGAACTCACAGTCTCCCGGTGATTGGTTCAAAGTCACCTAGCTGGCTTTTGTGCCTAAGGAAAGACTAGAACTCACCGTCTCCTGGGGATTGGTCCAAAGTCACCTAGCTGGCTTTTTTGCTAAGGCAAGACTAGAACTCACCGTCTCCCAGTGATTGGTTCAAGGCACCTAGCTGGGTTTCATGCTTAAGGCAAGACTAGAACTCACAGTCTCCCGGTGATTGGTCCAAAGTCACCCAGCTAGCTTTCATGCCTAAAGCAGGACTAGAACTCACAGTCTCCTGGTGATTGGTCCAAAGTCACCTAGCTGGCTTTCATGCTTAAGGCAAGACTCCTGGTGATTGGCCCAAAGTCAAGTAGCTGTCTTTCATGCTTAAGGCAAGACTAGAACTCCCCGTCTCCTGGTGATTGGTCCAAAGTCACCCAGCTGGCTTTCATGCTTAAGGCAGGACTAGAACTCGGTCGCCTGCTTTCTAGACCAGCACCTTATAACTACAAACATACCAGCACAACTATGTAAGAAATGCCACGGTGGTGTCAGCTGCATTATGGCATCACCACACAAATATCCCAAATTATGTTTTTTTCCACCACGATGTCGGAGCCTGGATGACGTCACTTCCGATCCTTACAGACACTCATGTATATACAAGAGCCGACCTTTATTATTCATGGATCAGATAAAGGGCAGCATGACTCACTCACTCACCGTACAATGTGCTTTACTTTCCTTGCTCCGGCCCTAAGCGGAGCCTTGAGCCATCCCTTGAATTTATTTGAGATTTTCTTTGAAAAAGCGGCAAGGGACTGCAATCCGGAGCCGAGGAAGCCCTGCGATAAGAACGGCCTACGACCGCAATGGCAAATCTACAGCGCATGGGCCACGGGTGCCACCTGGAGCCATTTGTGCGGGCACGCAAGCCCCAGCCAAACCTACCCGTACCGCGCACGTGCGCACCTCCCAGCTAATTTCTGGCCCATTTTGGGGGCTGTTTTTCGCCCTCGTGGAGGCTCGCGGGTGGCCTCTGTAGTCTCGGAAGACCGAAAAATAGGGCCTTCCGGAAGTGCTGAAACGGGCCCGAATTAGAATTGCGATTAGAATTCTTTATTGGCCGAGGGTGATTGGGCACACAGGAATTCATCTCCGGTGTGTAAGGTCTCATGGTGGTCCCAAAGGTGCTTTTTTCAAAAGGCAACTGGACTTTTCTGGGTTTTTTTTTTCTTTTTTTTCCTGAAAACGTTTCGCTTCTCCTCCTAGAAGCTTCCACAGCTCTGGCTGGATGGTGGGGGAGTGGAAGGACTTATATTTCTTGCAGACTGTTGGTCATTTGCATTCGGTTGGGAGAGTTGTTGAGACCACTCCTCCTCTTCTTCCTCTTCCCCTCCTCCTCCTCCTCTCCTTCTCCTCCTCCTCTTCAGCATCTCTCCTCTTCCCTTCTCCTCCTCTCCTCGTTCTCCTCTTCTTCTCTTCCCCCTCTTCCTCTTCTCCAGCTCTCCTCCTCCTCCTGCTCCTCTCATTCTCTTCCCCCTCTTCCTCTCCTCCTCCTCCTCTTCCTCCTCTCCTTCTCCTCCTCCTCTTCAGCTTCTCTCCTCTTCCTTTCTCCTCCTTTCCTCGTTCTTCTCTTCTGCTTCTCTCCTCTTCCCCCTCCTCCTCTCCTGCTTCTCTTCTTCTCCTCTTCTCCAGCTCTCCTCCTCCTCCTCCTCTTCCCCCCTCCTCCTCTCCTTCTCCTCCTCCTCTTCAGCTTCTCTCCTCTTCCCTTCTCCTCCTCTCCTCGTTCTCCTCTCCTTCTCTTCCCCTTCTTCCTCTTCTCCAGATCTCCTCCTCCTCCTCCTCTTCGCCCCCCCCTTTTATTAATACATTTTGGTTAACTGAAGGTGGCAAACAAATCTTACACTCTTGCTTTCCCTCCTACAACAACCCTGCGAGGTGGATTGGGCTAAGAGAGTTTTCATATGTAAGGGAAGACAAAAGTTCAGAGTCCCCTGTTTCCTTAACTGCTACAGCAAAGCGATTCTAAAGAAATAATTTATTCGTACAATTAAAAAAAGATTGTTTTGAATAACAAAGCCACAGCACAAATGTAGAGTTGTAATTGCAGGAATGTTCCAATCTTGGATGGCCAACCTCAGATAAAGAATGTTTCCAAGCAAATACAACTCAGGCAAACAAAAGCCACTAATCTAAAGGAGGATTAGAGAGAGGAAGTAAACATACGTTAGACTTTTAACTAGAGATAATTAATTGTATGGATTACTGTGCTAAACAGTAACGAAAGTTAAGCAGTAACTAAAGTTAACCAGTGATGGAGGATAACTAAAAATGTGTATAAATGCAAGACTAGACTCCAATAAAGATCATCACGATTCGGTTGTTCATGATCAAACAACTCGACTGCCTCGTCATTACAACACACAAAGCTCCATTCTAAAGAAGCATGCGCACAGCAATAGGCAAACAATAAACTTAGATGTTAAACCTCTTTTATTCCTTCTGTGTGGAATTTTTTTTGTATGTATCTAAGTATTCGTGTATGCAATATACTGCCCGCTGTATCATTATTATGATTATTATTTATTGTTTTCCATGTACAGAGCTTATGTGATGGGGACATATTTTTTTGTGTGTCGAATCATACTTGGTGAAATAAAGTATTCTATTCTATTCTATTCTATTCTATTCTATTCTATTCTATTCTATTCTATTCTACTCTACTCTACTCTACTCTACTCTACTCTACTCTACTCTACTCTACTCTACTCCACTCCACTCCACTCCACTCCACTCCACTCCACTCCACTCCACTCCACTCCACTCCACTCCACTCCACTCCATTCCATTCCATTCCATTCCATATACAGATGGTATTCAAACAGATTCTGACCAGTTCTAGAGAACCGGTAGCACAAATTTTGAGTAGTTCGGAGAACCGGCAAATCCCACCTCTGACTGGCCCCGCCAACCCCATCTCTTCTCCGCCTCCCGTTGAGGTTGCCCTGCACAGGAGAATGGAGCTGGAAAGCAGGTCAGTGGGGTGGGGAGGGAAGGGGGATTTTTCAGTATCCTTCCCTTGGAGTGGTAGTAAAAAAAATTGAATCCCACCACTGATTCCATTCCATTTTATATTCTATTCTATTCTATTCCATTCCAAATTCCATTCCATATTCGTTTCCATTCCATATTCCATTCATTCTCTATATTCTACTCCACTCTATTTTTAGGTAAATTTAACCAAGGCATCTAATAAGCAAACAAAGCCGCCCCCCCCAAAAAAGTCATCCCAACTTGGAATTTCTCAGGACTACAACCTCCAAAATTCTCAGTCCAAGGGGTCTCAGGGTCACCCACATCACTGAAGGTTGAGGGGAAAAAAAAAACCCTGATTTTAAAACAAGGGACCAAAATCTTTCTGTACGTATCAATGAACGCGCCAGGACAAAACATGAATTACCTGCATCCAATATGCCCTGCGCCAGAATCGCCCCAAACTTCGCCATCACATCATCGTGTTTATCGTTGATGACCTTGGAGTAAAGTTGCCTAAACTGGCTGACCTGTAAGAGAAAAATTAAAAAAAAAAATGTATTAAAAAAGCGTTTCCTAGAGTCCACTAAAAAATGAAATGTATACATTGAACGAATGAACGGATTATATAAAGAAACTAGCTCTATACCCGGCGTGCTTCGCTACAAAACTATGCGGTCGGCCTTAGTTTTTGGGGGAGGAAAAATAAGGAAAAGAAAATTCTGCCTCTGCCTACCAGCATCCATCGGTATTCACCTGGCTAGCTGTTCTGTCGGTGTGTGAGAGAGTTGAGGGCTGTTTAGAAACCGAAAGAGTATTTGTTCTGTGAGCAAGGAGACAGCAAGGAGCCTGGGCGTGGCTTAGCTCAACTGTTCCGTACTAAAGCTGCTTGGTGGTGTGAAACTGAAACTCCTCTGCTTGTGTTTTGCCTTTGGAAGAGATTTCTTTCCAGGTGGGGAGGGGAAGTAGAACTCTTTAGCATCAGAGCGTGTTTGGCTCAATTTTAGTCCTCTATTCCTATCCCAAACGCAGACTGTTCCTTTGAAGGCATTTTGAAACTTTTTCAGAGCTCCTATCTTGGAAAAATGAGATAACAATGGCAGGATTTCAACACCACCACCACTTTCCAGGAAGATATAATTCTTTAAAAAAAAATCACACCAGTGAATAAAAATTAAGAGCTGTAATGTTGGAACAGAGGATAGATTAAATCACTTTGGTAATTTAAGCTCATGAAACTCTTACAGATTTCTGAATGTTTTTTTTCTTTCTTTCTTTACCGGAGAGTAATCAGAGGTTTTGAGAAAAATATCTTTTCTCGATGTGAAAAAGGAATTCCCCTCCTGCCTGTCCGTCAAGAATGACTCTTTCGTCGGCTGTAAACATAAATGATAGGAACAAGGAAAGGAGAGGATAGACGTTGCACCATTTTCTTACAATTTAGATCGCTGTTTCTCCACCTTGGGAACTTGTAAGATATGTGGACTCCAATGCCCAGATCCTCAAATTTGGCAACTTTAAGGTCTGGTGTGCTTCAACTCCCAGAATCCTCCCCAGCCAGCATAGCTTGCTCTCTTGTGATCCCTTCCTCTGCAATCTCTCTCCACTTTAAGAGGTTAAGAGAAAAAAAGAAACAGACACGGCCGGCTGGCTGGGAAATTCTGGGAGTTGGAAGTCCACAAATCTTTATAAAGTTCTCTAGGTGGAGAAACTGGCTTAGCTGGCAACTTCTTGACTGACCTTGAAAAAAATAAAAATAAACGGGAGACCAGGAGAGAATGCCAGATGTGCAACCTAGATTGAGATGTCCAGAACCATCTCAGAAGGAATGGAGAACGAAGCAAGGCCCTCATTCCATCGGGTAACAGATAATCAGAGTTGGAAGGGACCTTATAGGTCATCTAGTCCAACCCCCCCCGCCCAAGCGGAAGACCCTACACCATTTCTGACAAATGGAAGTCCAATCTCTTCTTGAAAGTCTCAAGTGATGGCGCTCCCACCTCGGGATAGCTTAGCAGAGATGTCTCTAGCCCACCAGGCTGACTTCAGATGGGCCTTACTTACCTTCACTGCAACCAACGTGTCTTTCTTTTAATGCATCAAAATACGAGAGGTTTCGGTCTGGAAGGGCGAGCTACCACGGACAATCGTGAATAAACTAAAACCTATTTCTTTCTCCTGCCATTCCAGGCATCCCTTGTGGGCTAAGTGTGGCTCCTCCAATTTTGAGGTGGGACGGAGGCTGAGCTAAAAAAAGGGACGGGTGTTATTTTTAGAGCAAGGATTTTAAAAACCGAGACGGTTCTGCGTCATCTCTGTGTCTTTTTTGGGAAGTTTTGCAAGCCTCTGAAAAGGCCCGGGGGATTTATTAAGCATCCGGAGAAAATTTATATTGATTTTGATCTTCGGGTGTGGCTACTTTATTTCATTGCAAAATGAGACGGCCTTTGGCACCGTATCACAACGTAGGAAAGCCACAGGGCTAGAAAATATGACACACGTCTTGGCTACCCAACGGTGGAAGCTGCAGATAAGACCCGATTTAAGATAGAATAGAATAACAGAGTGGGAAGGGACACTCGGAGGTCACCTAGTCCCGGGGTCGCCAACCTTTTGGACCTCAGGGACCACTAAACTCATCATTTTAAATCCTGCGGACCAGAGATCCTGGGAAAAAAAACCCCAAAAAGTCTGCAGGAAAATTCCCCACCCCGTTTTCCTACTGATTGATTGTTCTTTATTTGGGGTCTCCAGCTCCGTTCCCAGAGGGAGAGAGAAAGAGAGAGGGAGAGACTTTTGGCTTCATGCAAGGAAAGCAGCAGAAGCCGCAGAAGTCTTTTTTTTCTCTCCCCCAAACTCCGCCAGAAATGAGTCTTTGTGAGACTTGTCACGCCAGCGCAGCCTCTTGGAGCAGGAGGCCTTGCAGGGTCCCAAAGACCCATTTCTGGCGGAGTTTGGAGGAAAGAAAGACTTTGGCTGACTTTCTTTCAGCACCCAAACGCCGCTTTCTACCCGGAAAAGCTCACCGGAAGCACTTTTTCATCAAAACAAGATGGCGGCGCCCAGCAAACCGGCAGCCCAGTAGAAATTGTTCCACGGACCGGGACTGGTGGCTGGGGACCCCTGGTCTAGGGGATGGCTCCTCATACATCACTTCTCAGGTTTCCAATTTTTTTTTTTAAGAGCTGTAACCATCAGAGGAGAACGCTGTAATTCCCCTTAGTCAAGTTTTTGGCGACCAGTTGTTCATGACTAATTTTCCATTTGTTCTTCTTTGACTGTACTCGTGTTTTGGTCTGTGACCGCAAATAAAAGTATTAAGACAATCCACCGCTAAGCAAAGCAATCCTTAAGCGAGTTTTTACCCTGTTTTATGACCCCTTTTTTGCCACCGCTGTTCAGTGAATCACTGCGGTTGTTAAGCGAACCGTCCGATCATTAAGCAAATCTGGCTTCTAGCATTGACTTTGGTTGTCGGAAGCCGGGCTGGGAAGGTTACAAATGGTGATCCCATGATCCCAGGAAAATGCAACCGTCATAAGTACATGCCAGTAGCCAAGCTGCCGAGTTTTGACCGTGTGGCCACGGGGATGCGGCAACGGTTGTCAGGTTGAAAACTGGTCGTAAGTCACTTTTTGTAACTGGTCACTAAAAAAATGGATATAAGTCGAGGATTACCTGTGTTAACTAGAAAGGAAGTTTCTATACATGTGAGCCTGTTTTCCTTAATTAGTTTTTTGAAATGCTATTTCAACTGTTAGCTTCCCAGTTATGTATATGACATGGACAACCATTCAAAATTATTCTTTTTTTTTTAATGTCTCGCCTTATTTTTTATAAATAAATAAAGGTGGTGAACACACACAATACTCATTCCTCCTGCTACTTTCCCCACAACAACCCTGTGAGGTGGCTTCGGTTGAGAGGGAGGGACTTGCCTGAAGGCACCAGACGACTATCATGCCTAAGGCGGGACTAGAACTCCTCGTCTCCTGGTGATTGGCCCAAAGTCACCCAGCGGCTTTCATGCCTAAGGCGGGTCTAGAACTCCCCGTCTCCTGGTGATTGGTCCAAAGTCACCCAGCTGGCTTTCATGCCTAAGGCGGGTCTAGAACTGACCATCTCCTGGTGATTGGCCCAAAGTCACCCAGCTGGCTTTCATGCCTAA